TATCCTGTGATCAAGTCAGGCTGATCTTTCCCCTCAGTATCTTCTAAAATGATCCCTGGTTTCCCACATCCTGTGTGAGTATGCTAATCACAAGCTTATTATCTAATGGTATGGGTGAGCTCCTGCTATAGCTGCTTAAAAAAAGGCAGGGAGGGGGGTATTGCAGTGGTTTCCACTCTGTCTTGTGATAAGCCTGAGCGAGCCTGATGGTTAGCATTTTCTGTGTCTGAGAAAGACAGCTGAATTAAGACGTAGGATGGCAGAGAAATACCTCATTGTATATTGATGGGGTTCTGGTGTAAAACCATGTGAAGCTGCTTCGCCATGTCATCGTGGCTGGAGTGTTATTTTGTATGACTGATGGCAGAACTTGAAGTCCATGAAGCACTTGTAAAATAAGAAAGGAGCTGTCTGCTGTGATTACAAACCCCAGCATTTCATGGTAGCTGAGAACGGGTTTTCAGAATTGCAACTCTGGATTTAAGTTTCTAAAGTTCTGCCTAAGCTTCTCAAGGGGGCTGTAAGTAATTTTTCACGTATTGCCCTTAACTTATCTCCGCCTTTCTTCTACACCTGTAATATGGGAGAAGGGTTTACCGCCTACTCATATGTTTTGTATACTTATGTTGCAAGACCTTTAGGGAAGGAACTTCCTCGCTGTCTTTGCATACTGTCTGGAATGAGACCCCCTCTTGGGTGACAGCTGTAGACCCTGTCACGATTTTAATGATGGTATAGGAAATATTTTCTTCTTATTTAAAAATCATTCAGTTAGCAATAAAAGTAAAATACTTTGTCCCTGTAGTTTACAAGTGCAACTTGTTCAAGAACAAGATAATCTTGTGATGGGTGCTGTGAATATTATATATAAGCTTACTTAACTTTTAATCATATAGTGGGTTTGAGATATATTTTGGTAATCATCTTTGAAAGTGAATACATTGCAAGTCATCTTAGTGAGGCACGTGTTTTCTTATTCCATTAGTTTGACATGTTGCCAGATTTTGTTATCTTTTTTTTTAGTACACTGAATTTGATGTAAATGATGAACTGCACTGGAAAACTATTCTGAAGAAACTAGTGCTTGGCCTGTCACATTCTTTTGTCCTCCTTTTAACATGAAATAAACAGCCTGATTTTCTGTTTAATGAAAGAAGGGGAAATAGCTGTCTTGTGTACATTTCATACATTCTCATGCTCAAATAGAAATTTTTCCCCGAGTCTGTCGATGTTCCCTTCAATAGTAATTCAGTAATGACTGTTTCTATACTGTCTCTGTACATAGTCTGGATAAAGGTTGGGAAAGCAAAATTAGTACATGAAATTTAAGATTTAGGTAAAATGAGGCAATGTTCGAGTATGAGGCATGCGTACTTGAAAGCATATTTGAAGAGCACACAAGTACAATAATTGTATTGGAGTGATGTAAAGACTTAAGTGGTTTCTCATGCAGATTTCAGTGCCAGGGTTGGTTGCTGCTGTTACTCATTATTTAAAATTCCAAGTTCAACAACTCACAGATTAGTGACTGTAACCTGCAGAGCCTCTGACCTAAAGAACTAAAGCCCAAAATACCTGGACTAAAATTCCATTTGAAAAGGAGATTGATTTATTGATTTCTCAGGTATACAATTATCTTTAGCAAAAAATATTTTTGCTTTCTCTGTTCAGAAAGGAAAGCAAACCATTGTATCGTTGCCAGAGAAAATCCCAAACTGGTGTCATAGTATCTGTGTTTCCAGATAGGCATTCATGAGCACAGAAAGATTTCTTCCCTACAGGTTTGCAAGTCACTTTGTTATTGAATTCACTTATTGATTTAGGAGCAGAAGAATTGACAAATCTATACTTAAGCTTCATGAGCTGTCACTTGCAGCTTGCATAGCAAACCATTTCCAGCTGGAGAACAGTGTTGTTTGGGTTTGTGCTAGTGGACTGTGGAGAATGGTAACATGTTAGGAGGCTGTCACATGAACCTTGAACCTTGTTACGTGTCTTAAGCACACTCATGTATCAAAAGATTGAGGACTAAGTCTCCATCAAATTACTTGAAAAGTTACTTTCAGAGCATAATCTCATGCATGAACCCTCGGGGAATTAAGCTAGTAAAAGAGAAGGCAAAAAGAAGTGAGAAGCATAATGCACAAGAAGTGAGAAATACAAGGATATAGTTAAGGGTGCTTTTTTTTTCATGTCAGAAAAGAAAGATTATGTTTTGTGCCTCCTTGGCAGCGATTTTATGGGAAGGGAGGGACATGAATTTACAGGAGTAGATTGAGCCAAGAGGGAGTCAATGTGAAGTATGGTGAAAGTCAGACCTTTCGTAATATCAATATTTATGCCAAATGTAACAGAGGAGTATTTACAGGAAACCCATCTTTTGGTTGATATGTTTACAGTATAGATAGACTATATATGAAGTTAGAACAGAGGGAGAGGAAGGTCGGCCAGACAGAGGGGATTTTTCCTTTTTTTTTTTTGTTTTTTTTTTTTTTAATTGAGAATGATATAGTGGTTTGGTGTTTTCTGACAGCAAAGTTAACGGTGTCTGGAGACAGTGAATCATCTCCCTGTCCTGTCTGTCAGACTGTTGAATATGAGAAGATAAGAGCCAGCATACAGTGCCTTTGATTTATGTGTGCTTAGGATTGCAGGTGTGCATTTTGTTATCAGTCTCTACAGTGCTATGTTGACTGGGAAGCTTAGGTGACCTACCTCACTTTAAAAGGGAGAATATACCATTCACCATTTGGAGAGGAGTTGTTTTTCTAAGCAGAGAATGGGGAAAAAATGTAAGTCTTTGAATATGTCTTGGTTTTATTCTCATGGTATCTTTTTGGTTTTATGTGAAAACAGATGTTAGGTCTTGTCTGATTTCAGAATACCTTAATCTCAAAACCTGAAATCTCCAATTAACAAATGATGATCTTATCTGTATTGGTTTTTTTATTGCTCTGTGCTTTTTCCTTTGGCCTGAAATTCTCTATGGTTTGAATTTGAATTTAATTTTTTTTTTCTTTTGGTTTATACTTTGCTTCTATTATATATTCTTGTGTGCTGGTTTGTCTTTTTAAAAAATATTTTAGCACTTAGGACAGGCGTGTACCTTTTAGTTGTTGACTCATTGATGCCAAGAGGGTGAAGTCCACAGATGTGGAGGTCTACTCCTAAAGGAAATTAAGTACTTTAGAAGCAATGGTAATGAAAAGTGATGGTCTTAAGAGTCTACTGCATATCTTTATATAGAATGAGGTTATGATGTGTCCCTGTTCTTAGCCATTCTCTCTATATCTTTCTGTCCTTTTTTTTTTTAATCAGAGAATTTGTTTTACTGCAATGTCAAATTATTTTCTCTCTGGAGCACACAGGTGGTGGAAAAAAATCACCAATGATTATGGTCTGATCCTTTTCAGAGAGTTAGGAAAAATAGATCCTTGCTCCTAGGCTTGCATGCCATGCAGACCTAAACAGTTCTCTAATATGGATTAAAAACCCCTTCCCAAACCAGCCTGTTTTGTTGTGGTGTTGTGTGTAAAAGGCAGTATGTAGCAAATTAAATGAACCTGTTGATATTAGTGGCTGAGATAAAAATAGACAAAACAGTCTTAATTTCATAGGAGGGCAACATTTCCTTTTTGGTACACGGTCAAGAGATGTGTATATTAGACATATATGTGGTCCTCTCTGTTCCCAGGCTGGGAATAGCTATGAGGCACAAGTATCTCAGCACAGGCATGGAAGACATAGAAGGAAATCCACATTTTGTTAAGCCCCTGAGGTGTAGGTGCTGTGGTAGAAGTGCAGCAGGCAGAAGAAATGGCATGGTTGCATGCTTGGACGTGTTGGGGGCATCTGTACCTTGCCCCAGGTCTTTGGCGTGGTACCTAGCTCCCCCACCAAATGCACTGGCCTCTCTTTTTCAAGTGGAGGTGATTAAGGAAAACTCCTTATGAACCTGGCAGGTGGATTGACATAGAGGTCACAGTGCTCCTCTAATTCTTAGTGTTTCGAAGACAAACAATAAGCTTGTGGCTAATGCTATTTGATTACCATCATTGAGGATTTGTGTTTATATAAGGGAGTGTAGATCTCAGTGTGTGCTAAGTGACATCAGGTGAGCATCTTTCTGTTCATGAAGGGAAGCAGAAAAGCCCTTTTGAGACATTTGTTTTAAATGGTATCTTTTCTTTTTCTTAATGGGTGGGATGAGGCTGATAGTGTTGCAGCAAGGAGAGTGGAGTGGGTTGGAGGAAGAAAGATGAGGAAAGCAAGAGAAATCTAAGCTACAGAAAATAAATGTGTGGTTTAGCAACTTCATTATAATTGTTTTTACAGACTCTTGTCTGTAATCAGGTTTGGACTATCCTTATCTGTGCTGAGGTGAGATTCCTGAAAATCACATGCTTTTACAAAAAATAATATGCAATATTTTTCTTGTTGGTGACAGATAGAGGAAAATTGTACTCAAAGCAGTCAGAAAAGATCTTAAAAAACCCCTTGGGTCTTGTCTGCTGTACTTGCCCCATGGCAATTTTAGGAAATAACTTGCAACAGCATTCTTTCCCAGAATATATTCTTTCTCCTGTGTCATACTGTTTGCATAAAATTGTAGTGAAAACTAAATAATTTTGATATCCTTTGCAATGATATATGAGGTGTATGTAAACTATTGAGCAACTGTGTTAGCACTGGGGAGTACTTTCTCAGATAAATAGTGTTTCAGAACTTGGCCTGTCTCTCAGAAGGATGGTTTTCTAGGTCTAGGATCCTTGCTAAGGGCATGTACAGTTGTCCGTAATCATAGAAATTGTTGTAGTGTCTAGATAGGCCAGGAAGGGCAGGACTCTGATACGCAAGGCATTGTACAAGCATGATTAAATACACTTATTGGTACTAAACTCATGATGACTTCTCATATTTAAATACTATGATTGCCACTGAAATCTTGGTTTTGATCATTCACAATGGAAATGTGTCTGGAATAATGTATTTTTCTTTCAGGAAGGAATCTTCAGAGAAATATAATTGTGGAAGTCAAAAGTGAAATAAGATTTGATACAGCAAGGATTGTACAGTTTCACAGGTAATGAAAAATTAAATCTGTAATAAATAACGATGAAACGTGTAAGGGTTATAAAGCAGTATATTTTATGAAATAATTTAACACTGGAATTAAGAAGGCAGGATTCCTTGGAAGGAGGTTGCTCATGAGGCAGGTTACTTTTGTTACGTGGTTGCTCACATCTGTTTCCAAAGCATCTGACTGTGGCTGCTGATGGAATTAGCTGCAGGTCACTCACCTGCACCTGCCGGAGGTTTTCTTTCTTGGTGCAGTGGAGTACTAGGTTACTGCGATGAGGGAATTCTGAAGAAACAGATAAGGCGTGCCCAGTGTCTTGCTCTGTTTTGAAAGAAGGCTGAAGCAAAGAGCTTTCTTCTGAAGTTGTGTATCACACTGAGAGCCTAAAAAAATAAAAAATCTGTTCAAAGATTTCCATCTAGCTGGCACCCAGTGCTGGGCAATGTGTCGTCTTGCTTCCCAGGAAGCTACATAACCTGGACCTGACACTGGGGGGGGGGCGGAGGGGGGGAAGCTTTTGCATGTCATTTTGTTGGGTAAGTTTGTAATTAAGAGTCTACATTAGCGGGCTACTGAAATTAGAGAGAACTTGCACATTTCTTAAAAGTAATTAAACTTTTTATTTTGTCTAATAAGATCTGGATATAGTAGTAAAATGTAATATTTACTTGCATAAGAATAGTCATTAATTTCGTAGGAAGTTTTAAGTAAATTCCTCAAATATTTTTATATTCCATGGTTATCCTTCCCATGCATGAGTAAGGCCAGGAGCATTTGCTAAATGTATCTAGCGTTGTAGCTCTGCACCATTATCCAACAACATCAGTCTGTGGTGAGTACATATTCCTAGACAAGGTAATAATTATGTTCTGGTGCTTGTAAATATGGAAGTACTTGCATACCTTTATTATTATGTGTAGTTCTGTTGAGTCATAATTAAGTGTGTGGGAAGAGGTAAGATCGAACCCTTATTTTACATAACTAAATTACTCTTCAAGGATCATATTTAACAATGCATTTGCAGCACCTTGTGATTTACATTTGGTTATTTATGTATTTTAATACGAAGTAACCATTAATGTTGAATAAAGGTGCTCCAGGTGCATTGGCTTAGAGCCTTTTGTAACTCCTGAATTACAGTTGGTGAGCTGTCACTGTAAACCAGCTCCTGGACTGAAGTCTATCGTTTGTATTTAGAATATACAAAAATTATAATGTTCTGTGAGATATTACAGGGAAAGGACACTCTTTAGAGTCTGATGATTACAAGGGGTGAACTTTTCTCAGGCTCCCATGAGTGAATAAGAAAATGCTGTTTTGCAGTTAAAACAGCATAACCTGCAGATAGTGATACCGTTGCATTTCTTGGTATATTCAAAAAGTTTAGAGAAGCCTTTTTTTGCCTTTCAGTGAAAATTCTAAATCATAATGTAAACCTCTTCATAGGACTCTGTGTGTGTGTGTGTGTGAAGATGATTAGAACCTCTTTTTTAACTACAAATATCCAACAGGCAGACTAGAGCGGGCTAAAAAAATTACATGATGATACATGTTTCTAAACCCCCATTTTTAATCCACTGTTCAAATGAAGTGAAATAAGTTATATGATCCCAACTTACCTGTATTTTTATGGGTATTGTTTATAATGTGACGTGTAGGACTGAGTTTTTTTCCATCTCTTTTTGTATTTGTTCAGTTATTGTTTTGTGTTTGGCAGACAGCAAGAAGTTTCCTTGGGTAAGGCAGTGGTGTTTCTGTAGTTGTTGCTGCCTGGATTCCTATTGTGAAGAAAGCAGGAAAGCAGCTTGGTCTAGGCTTCTGTCACGCTACCTGTTAGCTGACTCCGTAAGAAGGTAAATTGATGGGAAGAGACATTTTATTTTATTTCCCCAGGCAAAATCCCTGGGCTGTTTTTGGAATGACTTGAAGCAGCCTGGATAGCCGGAGTTATTTCTGTATCAGTCATCAACTGGGAAGTGCCCGGGTTTCGGCAGCAGAACCGATTCAGCTCAGTGTGTGGCCGCCGCATAGTGCTGAGGTGGCTGGGTGACTGCTGGCGTTCACCGCTTCCTGCTGTAATTCACTCACTTCACCCAAAAGAATCGTTGGGTAGCTGAAACGTTTTCAACTTTTAGTCCTGTTAAATTGGTTTGCTCACACGACCTGTTATTTCCTGAGCCTCTCGAGGTTGTTTTAATATTCTGAAACCCACAGTCTTGGTGGGGAGTTTTGTAGGGGAGCTGGTGCTGTACTCTGAATGCTGCAGACCTGCATAGTGTCCCCCTCTCATTTTGTGAGTCAAGCTCGTGCAAAATCTTTCATCTCCCAGGTTTTATGAAACTTGCAGGGTTTCATCAGGAAGGTTTCGGGCGTATGCTGTTGCAGTCATAAGCCCCATCTCATGCTCAGGCCTATTTTGGCAGCTTATTGTTAGATGTGATTCACACTGGATTCAAAGTAGGTTACTACATTTCTACAGTACTTCTGGTTTTTCACTGTTTTGGAGCTTCGTGACTGTTCTTGTGGCTGTTTATGGGATTTCTCTGCAAACAAGAATGTTGATCAGTTGACTGACATTTGTTAATAAGTGCAAGAAGCTGCTTCTTCACTATATAGAGAGCTGCTTAGTCTGGTAACCTGTATGTTATGAAGGTGACTAAAAAGAAAATACGAATCTTTTTCCAGCTCAGATTTTTTGAATAGTTGGCTGCAAGTTCCTACAAAGATCGTACAATGAGTAATCCCGTTGAAATCAGTGACTCAACTCATTGCATAAAGATTGGTGCAGGTAGAACCTATGCAGTGTGGTCTCCTCATGACAGTAAGAACCCAAATCAGTGTTTTAAGTCTTAACACTTCAGGATGCAAGTACCTGCATGACCCATGTGCTCAGTTTTCAATCAAGTAAGGCAGACTTCTGCTTGAGGCTAAAGTGAAAAATTAGGTCTTTTTGTTGCTATAAATTATTTTAATGTTTACAGGCTTGCATGTATGTATGTTTTTGCTTCCTAATCAGACATCTACAGAACAATTGGCACTATACGTTTCCTTTCCTAATTCATGTCAATTTTTTTTTTTTTTTTTGAAACCTTTTTTTCCCCCAAGGGTTACTGAGTTTTCTCCGTTTAATAGGTGGCATGGAGAATTCTGTAACTTTCAGGATATTCTCACGATCTGGCTGGTTGCTTTTGTCCTTTTGGCTAAAAAGTAGATTTATCCCTACATAAGGAATTTATAGAAGGTACCTATAGCTAACTTATCTTGAGTTTAAACTTCTGCGCTCATTTGTGCTTGAAAAAGATGAAGTAAAGTCTAGCTGTATTAGTGTTAGAGTAAGAAGGGGTTGATCATGCGAATTTTGACCACATGCTTTCCTTCTGACACATTCAAAACAATAAAGGAAACAGAAGTGCAGATTTACAGGTTTAATCAATGCCACTGGTTTTCAGCTTTTAAGTCTTTTCCTGTAGG